GAATATAGTCTAACAACGAAATTCTTGCAATGACAAGATTGCATATTACTATCAAAGATGTAAAATTTACTAAACTTGAGAAATTTTTCTGGCTAGCTTTCCACACTGAAAACAACTACTCAGAAAAGGTTTCACCTGTGGCCACAATATCATTGGGTTTTCTTGAGGCAAAAGTCATTCACAACTATACCCAAACTGACAGTGCGGTCGTACAAGGCTTGCGCTAGGGAGTAGTAAGAAGCACCGTTACCTTTGGCCTGCTTCCATGCTCTTAATATTTGATAGGACTGCTCAGAACCTTTTTTTGGGTTGTCCATCACTATCTTATCTAATCGATTATCTTTTACCCCAAGTGCCCTACCCAGTCTTTTACATTTTCCCATCACGGCCTCAGCTATGTCTGGTAAAGCTTTGCTGTCTATCGGTCCTTCCTTTAGGTTCCCTGCTTTATATTGAAAAAACCAAACAAAAAATGTGTAAGGAAACAAATGCATGAGCAACTTATGAAGTGAATTATAACTTAGGTTTGAACAGGTTTGAAGTTCAGAATCTGTGAATCCGTGCTCAACAGGACAATGAAGGTTGCATGATTGTCAACAATAACGGAATATGATGCTGTATGTAGCATTCTACAATGAAGAACACTTATTCAAAGTTGTAAATTGTAGGTCCATCATTATGAAATGCACTTCTCAGTGTTTTCTTCAGTTATTAACTCAGGGTTTAAAGGAGCAAGTGCTGCCACCGTATGAAAGACAGCTTCTATCGATTTGCTTGTCCTGAATGGGGTCATGGTTGAAAGGAGGGAAGTATGGTTAATGGAAGAGCTTGATAGTTTAAGTTAATGCAAAGAGCTTATTAAGAAACTATTCTGTTACTTACGCAACTTCGCAACTTTCTTTAGGGGTGGAGTGCATTCCATAAGACAGAAGTCTCGACGAATATCTTCAAGCTCATGCTTTCTTAGGGCAAACGCAAGCTTTTCATAGGAGGCAGCACCTTTCTGCCACCAAGTTTTTAGCATCTTATAACTTCGCTCGTATTCCTCATCGTTGTCTATCTCAATACCATTGAGTTCCGCATCACTCAGATCTAAGCTTTTCCCAAGCTTTTTCCATTCCATGTCGCCTTGTATATCCAATGCAAGGTATGGAAACCATTCAAGAGGAATGTTACCCATTCTGACTTTTGAAAAAAGAATGAACTTCTATGATACTACTATTTGGGATTTCTTTGTTCCCTATTTATGGATGTTTATACACTGCATAAGCCACCTCTACCTTCTTTTTTTCCTCATTGTATATTTCTTTGAATTCTCAAATCAAAATAAATGGAATTTATAATATACTGATTAAATTCCTTAAGATGTGGAACAATCATGTGGTTTTGTTCCTCATTTGATAGTTCGTAGGCACCGTTTTAAACCCTGTTTGAATCTTGAACGCTTCCATGCTTTTCTATTCGCAATTTCCTCTATGACCTCTATTGCCATTCCCTTGTAAGGAATTAATGGTTGAGTCTACCACACAGTTGTTTCTACTCGTATCAACCAGAATGAAAGAGACACTTGACAGCACTTGTGCTTGAAGAGTTCAATATTACAACCCTAAATTAGTGAGGTCAAGTAATGGTGCCATGCTAACTGATGCCAGGATCATACTGTGACTGCTCTAAACATGATAATTACTATCACCGGACTGATTAACAGGTAAAGCAGCATCTGATAATTTTTTTTCAGTTGTTAAAAGTTAATCAATTCCTGAGTTCTTCCCTAATTTTACGTGCGATATATGTTACATCTTAATAGCGCATTTGTCATAGTTAATAGTGATATTGATACTAATGCCGTATTTTCACCTTATCCAATGATTTAACATGTAATACAAACGGATATTTTGCAAGTTGCATAGTCTTTTACACGGTGAAGAAAATAAGAGCAATTTCTGCTTGAATTACATGTTAAACCATTGAATAAGGGATTTATTTTTAACTCGTAAATTGAGCGCATGCGCAAGAGCGAGTTATAGATACGATGTGGGGTATGGTATTCGCTCGCTCGCTCGATTGGTCGATTCCTGTAAACTTTTTTTTAGATTTTAGGCTTTTGAGTGCATTTGATAGTTTTTTGCGAGCAATAAACGGACGAAATGGCGACCTTTGTTGCTAATAGTGGTGGGGTGAAAAAGAAGCCAATGATAATCTTAAAAGAGTTTTTTTTTCGTTTTAGTTTCGACAAGCGGCGCCAGCGACTGGCAGGCATGCAAGGATTCACACAGAAATAACAGAACAACCTTCGTTTTTCATAAAATTGTAATTTACAATCCTTGAACTTGAAAACAATCCGAAGATTCATTGAAAATATCACCTACTGCGAAGCGCTCGGAGTTGACAGATGTTCAAAAGCTTTTTCTGTTATGGCGTGAGATTGAGGACAAAATTGATCATTACGTTTCGTCGCGTGTGTTTTTCCTGTGTGAAGCAACAGAAGATGCCGGCGACTGACGAAATAACAAGTTAACACGAAAATCAAATAACACCTAAACAAACAATTTTAGCTACCGATTTTCAGTGAATTTTTAAAGAACAATTTTCTTTTAAGTTTCAAGACAATTTGAAGATTCAACATACGTACAACGTATTAAAATACGAAAGTTACACACCACAAAATTGATAAATAGGCCTGAAATGAAATTATATCTTGTTATTGATTATACGTTGCCTAGCACGTGACTTAAAGATCCAAAATGACGGTGGCAGGCTTGGCTTAGTTACATCACTCAAAACTCGTTCCCATTTGTCTCATTTGATAAAGAGGGAATCGTTTATGTTTTCATTAAGACAGTATTGCCTTGATTTTCTAATATTTACAACGAAAGACAGTAAATTTCACTTTTCACCCACATTTACTTCCAACCTTTTCTTTTGAACCAGAAACAAAAATGATAGACGTTTAAAACACATGACATCATCCACCTTGTCAAATGTAATAGCATGATCATTTCAATTGTAATGCCTTCTTATCCCAACGTTACTTTGTTTCTTTGCTACATTAGCGAACACTGAACTACTGCTCGTACTCTAGATATGACAATCAACCACAAAATTCCCTAAACCAGATAACATTAAACATAATCTAAAAAATCATGTGTCAATTCACGAGTTTGCTCACAGAGCACTTTGATTCCACTATTGTCTCATTTTTAGGTATTTTGGCATCTAGTTTAGGAAATATATCCTTTGACTTCTCCATATAATTGTGTAGAATGCAGAAAGCATTCACAAAGGACGAAAAGAACACTAATGAAACTATTAAAGTGTTCTCTAAGATGCACGTAAGAGGTCAAGCCCGAAATACGGAAAACAAACCAAAGTTTTGATCATTCAGTGTGGCTATTTTGTCTCTCTGCCTTCCGTCTGTAATTCAGCCCTGTTCTACAATGTATTACCGTCCCTTATCATCGCTAATATGGTAGAATGGTGTAAAATAACGTAAAATGGCGTAGCCTTGAATAGATCATATAATGCATTAACACAAATGACCTGTTGCATAAAATCAGTCACAGTTTCAGTTTCCTGTGCATAGGAAAGTTGTTAAACTAAGTCGAACTCTCTACAATTGTGAACTCTGTTTTTGATTTAGCAAAATCCAAAACATCACATGCCTGCACATGAGGCTAAATCCTACACCATCTCTCTTTAAAGTGATTGGATAAGAACAAAAGGTGACCTCTTACTTTTCTCACCAGACTCCTGAGCAGGGACTGTTTCAGAACTGGAGGATGTCTTCTCATAACCTTTAAAAAAAAAAAAACACACAAGAAAATATTCCTTAAGAATCTGCTTTTCATTTCAACTTACAAATTAGGTTGAGGATAATAACCAAAATTAAGAACAATCTAAAATGGCATTAAAAATGAATATTAACAATAGTAGCCAGGAAACAAACATACAAATTTTGTCCTAGTATGGATATTTCACCATCCTATTTTGGTCATAGTTCTAATGCCTCACAGTCTTTAGATAACTGCAGAGCCAATTGCAAGAAACCTTTTGGTTGGTGAACATGAGCAAACAAATACTAACAACAATCAGTTACAAAAAAATTACCAAACACAACTTCATGCTGCTTGCTCCCCAATTCTTTACCCTCTTCCTGATCTGATGGATGTACTGGAGCCGTTAATAAAAAATTCAGGTGTGAGAAGTTCACATCTTTTTCTGTATCTTTTCTAAGTCCTGCTGAGAATATCGATGATTCATTCATTATTGAGAGACTAAATTTTCACACTTCAAAAACTATACATTTAAGCGTAGTAAATGGCCAAACCTAGGGAGGAATTTTTTTATGTTTTTGAATTGTTTTTATTGTTTGATCTTAAACTGTACATGATATTTCTTCTCATACCATGAATTACTAATTGGTCCTGTAACCAGTATGATAGCTAAAACAAATTGGTAGGACACCAGTCACCTTCAAAATATCTATATGCATTGTAATGAGCTTTATAGTTCCATAGTTAAACATGTTTTCTTATTGAGAATTTAGTGATAATATATACATGTCATGCATGCATACATATCCATGATTAGATGAAAAAAAACATACAATCAAAATAAGGTAGCTGTCGAACAGATTTCAATTTGCTCCATTAACTGTAAAACAAAATTATATCTTGTTAGCTTTTTCCTTGAAGAATGTAACTGCGTGGTGACCCATGCATCAGTCTCGGACAGACTGGGAAATTTCATACAGAAGCTTGGTACCAAACATGGCATAAATTTCTCTGCCTCCTAAAAGCTCCATTATTCAGCTTAGTGGTAGATTGAATTGCAGGCCTTACACCTAGACTTGTTCTAAACTTAAACTGTGCATCCATTGGCTGCATTCCACCATTCAGATTCGTGCTCTTGTTTGTTCATTCTTACTTTTCAAACATGCACCTCTAGCATGCAAAGTACAACTGCAAACAGCTGCTTACAAGCCCTGGGCTTAGAAACTTTGAAGGTGTAGGGGGGTTGTGGGGGGAGGGGGGGCTTAGGAGGGCTTATCTATCAAATAGAGAAGCCTTGACTATGCTCTGTTGTAAAGTACACAGGAAGCAGCTAGAGCACTAAAAAGAGGTGTAGGGAGAAACATGAGACATAGTCAAATGTTTCTCCCCACTTCTCTTAAAATAAAGAATCCATTAAAATTCCCAACAATTTACTTCCAAGTTTTTCTCAAAATGAATAGAATTCGTAATATACTGATTAAATTCCTTAGTATCTGGAACAATCATGTGGTTTTGTTCCTCATTTGTTAGTTCGTAGGCAAGCTTTTAAACCCTGTTTAAATTTTGAATGTTTCCATGCTTTTTTCTCGCAATTTCTTCTATCGCCATTCCCTTGTAAAGAATTAATGGTTGAGTATACCACACAATTATTTTTACTCGTTTCAACCAGAATGAAAAATATACTTGACAGCACTTGTGCTTAAAAAGTTTTATATCACAACCCTAAATTAGATATTTATATTTTTCTCACTTGTTTAAAGTGAATCAATTCTTGATTTCTTCCCTGATTTTACATGTGATACATGTTATGTCTTAGTAGCGCATTTGTCATATAGTTAATGGCGATATTGATACTAACACCATATTTTCACCTTATTCAATAGTTTAACTTGTAGTACAGACAGATATTTTGGAAGTTGTGTAGTATTTTACAGGGTGAGGATTTTAAGAGCAATGAGCAAAATTTCTGCTCGAATTATATGTTAAACCACCAAATAAGGGATTTGTTATCCACTATTATCTCATTTTCAGGTATTTTGACATCTGGTTCATGAAATACTTCCTTTGGCTTTTCGAGCCAGACAATTGTAAAGATTGCAGAAAGCACAAACAAAGGAGGAAAACAACACTACTGAAACCATTTAAGTGTTCTCTAGGATGCGCTTAAGAGGTCAAGCTCAAAATATGGAAAAGAAATCAAATTTTTGATCATTCACTGCGACCATTTTGTCACCCTGTCTTCTGTCTGTATTTCAACCCTGTTCTACAGTGTGTTACCATCCCTTATTGTTGCTAACATAGTAGAATACATAAAAAATAACACAAGATGGTGTAGATCATACTAGGGACTGTTACAAATGACCTAGTTCTCTTTGAAGCAGTAAAGAGTTTCTATTTCTCGAGAGTGAAAGAGAGAGAAGGCTTTAGGAGGGAGCTTATATCAATAGGGGATTATAATTGCATGTACCAATTTGTTAATACAAGTAGATGGACCTTACGATAACCAGGAGGGGGCCTTAAATTAGCGGGGGGCCCTTCAATAAGCAGCATTTTATAGTAGACACATCACTACATTACCATTCAAAATAGCAAGGAAGATTTGAGGGGCTGGGACTGTAATTGAGTAATGCATCCTACACAAATTGTATGATACATGTAGCTACAGCAACTTGTGCAATAATCAAAAGTAGATTGAGTAATATTAATGTACACTTAATATACACACATTGATATTACATACCACAGACAATGTACAATTAATACACACACATTACATACCAGAATATTTCTTATTAGAGGCATCTGTGATATCTACTTGTTGAACATTGCCAGTTGCACCCTCACTAGGTTCCTTTCCTTGATATTCTGTTCCGCACATACAATTTAAAAAAAAAGAAGAATCGTAATTGAATATAAACTAAAAAATTGTTTTTTACAAATAAACTTAATAGGATGTATAGTGCACTTGACTTGTTTCATCAATTTGGGAATAAGCTCAGAAGAATTTTAAGGCTCTTTCTCTGTTTTGTCTGTAATTACCAACTATCACCTGTACTGCCTATGTTGTACTGTTGGCATTTTATGTAACAGAAATAACATTGTTGTAATTTCTCCATACATTTCAATTTTTTTTTCAAGAACAAAAACAAGCATAATATTATCTCTAATCTAAGAGTCTCCAGCCATCTTCCTTTCTTGGTCTGGAGTGTCCTGCTTTTTTGGTTGCAGGTCTTGAGCAAACAACTACTGAGAAGGTGGTTAGTCCAAAATACGGAAAACAAATTTAAGTTTTGATCATTCAGTGCAGCCATTTTCTCTCTCCATCTTCCATCTGCATTTCAGCCCTGTTCTATGGTGTACTATGGCCCCATATCATCGCTAATATGGTAGGATGGAGTAAAATAACATAAGATGGTGTAACCTTGGATAGATCATATTAGGGGCTGTTGCAAATGACTTGCTGCATAAACTCAGTCATTTACGTATTTGTTCATGGATATTACCGCACCAATTAAAACTAGCTAAAACTGTGCATAAGAAAGTAGATAAACTGATTTGAACTCTCTACAATTGTGAACTCTGTTTTTGATTTAGTAAAATCCAAAACATCACATGCTTGCACATAAGGCTGAATCCTACACCATCTTTTTTTAATGTGATTGGATAAGAACAATAGGTAACCTCTTACTTTTCTCAACAGACCCCAGAGCAAGGACTGTTTCGGTACTGAAGGATGTCTTGTCATGACCTATTAAAAATAAAAACAAGGAAATATTCCTTAAGAATCTACTTTTCATTTTGACTACAAATTAGGTTGAGGAAAAAAGACACAAATTAAAATGAAGAACACTCAAAAATAGCCTTAAAAATCAATATTAATAATAGAAGCCAGGAGACAAACACAAATTTTGTCCAAGTATGGATATTTTACCATCCTATTTTGGTCAAAGTTCTAGTGCCTCACAGTTTTTAAATAACTAGAGAGCCAATAACAAGAAACTCTTCAGTTGGTTAACATAAGCAAACAGGAGGGCTTATTTTATAAATAGAGAAGCCTGTGCTCTATTGTGTTGCAAAGTACAAAGCAAGCAGCTTGAGCACAAAAGTGTAGGGAGAAACATGAGACATACCGTCAAATGTTTCTCCCCACTTCTCCTATTATAAAGAATCTGTTAAATTCCCAATGCGTCCCTTTTAATTTTCCAGACAAACTTTATTTGCAAAGCAAACAACAGTGTCACCAGAATGCTCTATACTCTCAAAAAGCACACTACAATAAGCCAATCAGAATCCTTGTTAAAATAGTTCAAATAATCTGATTGGCTAAACAAGACTGAAGGTGTCAAAAATGTCAAACCATCAAAGTTCACAATCTGCAATAGTTTACAAACTGAAATAGTTCAGCTGGTTGATACTTAATACCTTTGCCTGAAGTTTTTTAATCTGAAGGGTGGACTGTGTAATTTCTGCAGCCTGCTATACTGTGATGACCAGAGATCATCATGATAAAATAGCTTTGATAGACCTACACATTTGACACCATCATGATTTGTATGAATTTTAACAGTCATGCCACTTTGGTTATATTTTTCATCGTTCCTGTTTTCTACTCTTGTTTTTGAACATGAAGCTATTTAATATTGTATTATACAAGTGTTAGGTGTGTACGAGTTTTATTACCTTACATAATCTTACTAATCCAACTGAGAATGAAAACCATTAAAACCTGGACAGTCCATTTTTTTATCTCTTTGAGGATTTTCATCTCTACTCATGTTATAATAATATCAATCACTGTGCTTGGTATGTTTACAAACATTTGTTTGGTTCTTCTGTTGCTACCAGCCAGCTTGCTTTCAAAAAATTGCAATAAATGTTTGAAGCAGTAAAGAGTTCCTATTTCTCAAGAGTGAAAATGAGAGAAGGCTTTAGGAGGGAGCTTATGTCTATGGAGATTATAATTGCATGTACTACTTTGTTAATACAAGTAGATGGACCCTATAATAACCAGGAGGGGGCCTTAGTAATCATCAGTTTACAGTAAACACATCACTTCATTACCATTCAAAATAGCAAGGAAGATTTCAGGGGCTGAGACTTCAATTGATTAATGCATCTTATACAAATTGTATGATAGATGTGGCTGTGCAATAATCAAAAATAGATTTATTAATATTAATGTACAATTAATATACACACATTGAAATTACATACCACAGGCATTTGGGATATCTGGAACACTGCCAGTGGCACCCTCACTAGGTTCCTTTTCTTGATATTCTGTTCCACACATACCATTTTTTAAAAGGAGGATTATAGTTGAACATATACTAAAAAATTGTGTTTTACAAATAAACTTAATAGGATTTATAGTACATTTGACTTGTTTCATCAATTTGGGAAAAAGCGCAGAAGAATCTAAAAGCTCTTTCACTGTTTTGTCTGTAATTGTCAACTATCATCTGTACTGCTTATGTTGTACTGTTGGCATCTTATGTAAAAGAAGTAACATTGTAAGTTGTAATTCCTCCTTACATTTCAATGTTTTTTCAAGAACAAAAACAAGCATAATACTCTCTCTAATCTGAGTCTCTAGCCCTCTTTTTTTCTTGGTCTGGAGTGTCCTGCTTTTTTGGTTGCAGGTCTTAAGCAAATAACTACTGAGAAGGTGGCTAGCGTCTACTTTTTGAACTACTTCAAACAACAATCTTGACATGTAAAACTGTTCACAACAGAACAGTCGACACAACGGAACTAACGTTTTGAGAATTCCTGTTTTCAGCCATCTTTACTTACCAATTTCTGTCTCTGTTAAGAAGTAGGGACGAAGTTTTCCATCACGATCCTCTCCTACTACACCAATGACCTGGTCCTTGTCGTTAATGATTGGGGATCCAAGGATGAAAGATTTCTCGAAAATACAATCCTTGTCAGAAGAATGAAGTTCGTACTTTCTCTTTTCTTGACTGTACTTGAATGTGAATTTCACTATTTCTTTGTATCCCATGATTGAGTACGCAGACACATCGTCAATGTTTTCAGTACTTCCTGGAACTCTCAACTCAAGAATTATAAAATCCTCATTTAGCGTGGATGTATTATTGCCTCCTTTTACTGAAATGAACGAGAAACTGCCAACTTGATTGATCTGTAACATTTCGAGCCGATAATTTTTCTGGTCAGTAAAAAAATTTTTCGAAGACCGATGCAATTTTATTGTCTTAGCTTGATCTTGTTCGTTGATTACACCTTGCCAAGTTAGCAAACGTGACCTCCCTCCAACTTTAACGGCACAAGCCATTCCCCTTGTTTTGTAAATTGTAGGGATGTCTATGTCATCAACTTCCCTTACTGCATAGATGGCCTTGATGGGCTTTGGGTCTCTCCCAAAAGCCATGCCTTTTCCGACGACTCCTAGGTTATGCATCGGTTGAGAAACCGGCATGTGGAACTTAAATGGTGATTGTTACAAACCTCTCGCAGACGTTTGGTGAGACCAAGGTTTGGCTGACTCTCAGCCTGAATGCAATGCCGTAGTGTTCAACCTCATCCCAAAGGATCTTTCATAGCAGCTTGCGTGCGCATAGTGGAAGTTAGCGGATGCAATCCGTCATACTGAGTACAATTTCGAGCCCAGGGTCATTTTGGCCCTTTTTCAGCGGTATAGTCGACAACTGGCCAAGATCGGTCATGTATGGGGAGTTATTTAACGTTATATGTGTGTAAAGTATAGAGCATAATATGTATTGAGGATAATAATGGTATATAAGCCGAATGCCATATAGACGACAAAATGGCTGACAATATTCATGCTATAAGGTTCATGTAAGACTTACGATATGTCCTAGTTAGCTTTATTCTTCCACGTTAACCCCTTCTACCTTAAGTTGACCTTGTTGTACCATTACCTCACACACAGGTATTTTGTGTAGATTATGTGTGTTGTGCGAATAAATGTAACCAAAAATAAACTGTATTGATGCCACGGATACTTGTTAGTACAAAATGCAGACAGCAAACTGCAGACCGGATACAAAATATAGACTGCAGACTTCAGAGTGGTTACAAAATGCAGACTGAGAATCTGAAGAGTTTCTACGTCTGGTATATAATAACATATCATCCTACAGCTGGTTACCGGTCACCTCGCCACCAAGCAGACTCGCCACCAGCGAACTCGCCACCAAGGAACGATCTCGCCACCAACGTACTCGCCACCAAGCGAAGTCTTCTCGCCACCAACCACCAATAAAGAGATAAACTAGAATAAAGTAGTCGAGGAGAGTAGGATGTTCGAACGAGCACAATTCAAATCAGCCGATACGTTTGAGCGCTTGTCTGTATTTAAATTATGACCTTCAGCGACGTGTTAGATGTGTTCTGTTCCTAACTCATTGACATCGAAACGTATCGTGTTTGTCTTTTGCACGTAAGCGAGGAGAAATTGCAAAACTCGATGCGAGGAATAAAAACTTACTTGAGAGAAAATGAAACTTCATGGGAAGAAATAAGTGATGAAATGAAACTCGATAGCAGTTGTATTAAAACTAAACTTATCGGTTTCGAACGTGCTTTCGACAACATACGTTTATAAAGTTTGAGTACAGACAAGCGAACAAACTTATCGGTTTCGAACGTGCTTTCGACAACATACGTTTATAAAGTTTGAGTACAGACTTATCAGCCGAACATCCTACTGTCCTCGACTAATCTCTTTATTGGTGGTTGGTGGCGAGAAGACTTCGCTTGGTGGCGAGTACGTTGGTGGCGAGATCGTTCCTTGGTGGCGAGTTCGCTGGTGGCGAGTCTGCTTGGTGGCGAGGTGACTGGATACCCTACAGCTTACCGAGCGTCACGCAATCGCTTTTCCGCGATCAGCCTTCACGATTATTTGCACTACTGTGGAAAATTCCTGGCCCATTTCTTGATGAAAATCGATCGTAATATAATTTCAAGCCTTCAATATAGTCTTCTTACCATGCGCGCGAGTTGCTTGGTGTGATGTCTGTACAGACTTTACCAACGTAATAAAAATAGATGATGGGAATAACAGTGATGGTAAAGCAAGCTTAAAACGGCAGAAATCGCCAGAAACTACAACGGATACACAGGGTTATGAGTAAGTTTTATTGATTTTAAGAGAAAAATGTTCATATTTCGAAATATTTATCGTTGTAAATGGACCATATTTCGTTCCCTATACTATTCCTTATAACGTGTTCAAATTTTCAACGGTTCCTCTCGTCACACAGCGCGTGACGCGTTCATGCCGCCTGTGACAAGACAATTGCGTAAACAATACTTAGCATAATAACATTATACACAAAAAACACAGGATTTTGGATCATGTATTTGTTAAAAAAGAATATCCATATAACTACAATGAAAACAAACATAAGATTCACCATTCTGATCGTGAAATTAATACCATTCGCACTGTTGTAGTAGCTACGTTCCCTGGCATCAAGTGAATCCAACATGGCGCCTTTCTTCACCAGCAGTTTGCATCCATTATAGTTATGTTCTTCAGTCTTACGGTAGTAGTGTTGTTCAGTAGATTGCATAGAGTATATATAGTTTGGTTTCAGATTTCAGATTTTGCTTTTTACAACAAGTGTACGTTTTTCAACTAAGACATTGGCATACTTGGCATACAAGGCATACAAGGCATACAAGGCATACAAGGCATACAAGGCTTTCATGGCTTTTAAGCGGTCGCGACTCAATTCGTTCCAAAATAACCGCTCAATAACATCTTTTAGTGTGGACTGGCCGCGAACAATACGACTTGTGTATGCGTCTGTAAGTATTTTGAGCGTTTGCGCCATAATACTATGAGGTTCTTTTACGGACAAAATATCGAACATGGATACATTAATGTTTTGTTCAATTACGTTTTTGTTATGCGTTATAATACAAGTCTTAAAATAAAATAAATCAATCTCATCCGGAATACATCGATTTTGGATGTCATACATCGATGTTGTGCAGCATACATCGCTTTCCTGACTCATTCACGCGTGACCTTATATAACTAAAAGATGTTCAATAAAACTAAAAGATGAGGAAGCGGAAATGGAAATGACCTGAAGTCAGATTAAACAAGAAGCCCCGGAAACTAACCCTTTCAAAATGGCGGAAATAGAGGCGGATGATCAGTGATGTTTGAGAAGCAGTATGCAAGGTGTACGGATTTGGCTTGGGTGATTAGTGAGGGAGCTAAATAGAATTGGGGAAAGTATCTCAAATCATGAGTTGAATTGACATTAATGCTCATGCATCAAAATTACAGCCTAACCTCCCTTGTACCACAGATTTAAAACTGGTGTTGCCCCTGTGTGGTATCCCAGTAAAAAGACGACAAAAAAAACAAAGGCATTTTATGACTGGGCTACCACAGGTATCCCAGTAAAAAAGACGACAAAAAAACAAAGGCATTTTATGACTGGGCTACCATAGGTATCCCAGTAATGACCCTGGGCTCAAGATTGTTATTTAGCGGGAAACCGACGTAGGCGCATGTCAGCAGTTTCTTACATCAATCTAAAATTTACAGAAATTGCCTCTCAGCTCCGTTTTTCCCATCTCAGCTCTCTCCTTGAAGGCTGTATTTCTGCATAATTTTCCTGTTTCTTTCGGTTCCAAATCGATCATTTCTGGGAGACCAAGCCTGTGCTGTTTTTGTGCCAGTGAGGAAGTCATCATGGTTCCACGTAAATTGTATATTAAGCTCAATGTCATCTTTGCGATCGTTCTGTTGCGTTTGGAGTACGTTCTTGGAACCTGCATCGAACGCGACGAACAAATACAAAAGTATTTGACTTCTTCCAAGCCTCCTTTTGACAATTATCTTAACATATCGAAGGCTGTTTATCCTTCTGTGGATCTCCCATCTTTGCTGATCGACATCACGGTGAAATTCCTGAAGACAGCTGGCAAAAAGTCAAATGGAAGTAATAGTTTGAGCACTTTAGAGCAAAATGTTTCTCGATCAACGACATTTGAAATCAGGAAATTTAAGTGGAGTATGTCATGCTTGTACGTCAGCGGAGGAATTAGCCTATCCGCTATGAACTGGTTTTCCCTGGGAGCGATTTATCCAAACAGAAGAGGAAGTAAATTGCACATAACTCTGCCACAATTTTGCAATGGCTTTTCCGTCGACAGACAAGTTACAATGATGTACTTCCTTTCCACGGTAAATGATCATTCTGTTCTGTGTAGCGTTTTGCTTTTTGATTTAACTTCGTTGTTGAGTCGTAGTGTGTTGTGCAATTTGGCGTAAATGCCGTAATAAGACCCTAAGACTGGTATTGTCATCATCATAACTTCTATGACTAAAATGTTTTGAAAGTAGCAATGTTGATAGACATCTGGACCTCCGCAGTATCCAAAAGTCTTTTGGGAACGTACGTTTACGAAATTTCCCTCGTTTTTAAAAGTTGTTCCGTTATATTTTACCATTAAATTGAGAGCATGTTAACTCATCAAGTTGAAGTAATGCAATGTTTTCAATCTTTTAAAAGTCATGCTCTTTTTCTGTTACAAAATGAAAACTATAGGTGCGCAAAACGTCCTATCTCGACCCACCCTGCTAAAAAGTAACTCTTGGATGCAAAGCATGTAAGAGTGTTTAATCGAAGATAAATGTGGATTCCCCTTTTTTAACCCGATCTCAATTGCTGTTCACTTTCACAACACTGTGACATGCTGACTTGTGTGTTTTTTATAACCTAGATGAACTATCCATGCCGTAAAATACATGTGTCTACACTATAATTATTGTTATTTTTCTTTAGCTGCAGGATATAGCAGTCAATCCATCAGTTTCAGATCCAAGATTGAACACGGTTGAGTGCGTGATCCCAGGCCATAGGAAAGGTCCACACCTTTCTGGTGTAAAGCAATTGTTGCATGGTGTTTGTTGGAGTTTACTGGTTATCAGCCTCACCATGAGTACTTTGACATCACAATGGATAATAGTGGAGCTGAAGTCATGGGACAGTAGTAAGATTGCAGCAGCTATGCTTCTTTCTACACTCCTTTTTCTGGGGGGACTTTTCATTAATCTTTACACATGGATATCAGCAACAGATGTTGAAAATGAACAAGACATCTATGTCAAGGTGTTCTTTGGATTTATATGTTTTGTGCTTCTCCGACGCGTAGGTTGGTGTATGTGTGTACAGAAAAAATTGAAGTGTTTTAGTGAACTAAACTTAACTAAGGGCCATGGGAAGATGACTACAGAGAACCTTTTTTCTGGTGTTGTACTTTATCCAGCAGTATTCATAACATATCATCATTTACTGTGGATTTTGCTTGGTATGATAACAGAGCCATTTTGGGGTTTTACTGTTTTAGTGGCTGTTATTTCTCTATGTGCTACATTTTTCTTCTTTGTTTCAGAACTGTATTGTGTTTTCCCTAAAAAATTTTATTCCTCTGGAAAATGTAAAGAAACATTTATATTTGTCATGTCTTTCTTTTTGATTGTAGCCGTCCTCTTTGCGTTTGTGTTGTTTATGCTTGATCTGTTTGCAGTAGCACAGGCTTCTATGGGTGAGAGTTTGATTTCAACACTGATTCAGAATATTTTGACATTTGTTGTAACTGCATGGTTGGGATATATGAATATTCTAACAAAATCAAACCCGGGAGATAAAAGAGAAGGAGGAGATGAATGTGACGGAAATGGAGCAGAGGGAACAGGAGGAGAAGGTAATAAAGGGTCTGCAAATGGAAAAACTAAAAGAAGAAAAAAAGGGATGAAAAAAGAGGAAGTACCCTTGCAGGTACGCAGTCAAAAACTCCTTGAAACGGCATAAAATCCCATGCAGACTAGCATCCTATCCTACATTGCTTTATACTTCAGAAACTGATGATACGCACAAATAGTTAGCAGACTTAACCCATACCCCTATCACTCTTTGTTGTCACATTTACTTGGGTATCCCTTCCTCAACACACTTAATATTTTTATTTTCTGAAGAACCGTTTTTATCACTTAACTGTGGATCAATCACCATAGAATTACTTTTGCTCGATTTTAAGTCTATTAAATAATAGTCATAACATTGTGATTCATGAACTGTCTTAGTTTTAGATTGTAACTGTAATAAATTCTTGTATCCACAATTAAAGAGAGATAAATGAATACAAGAGCCTATTTTATCACCGTAGTAAAACGGTTTGTTTTACAAATAATTATTATTTTTTAGTACACACTAATACAGTGGATAGCCCTGGAGGTGCACTCTGATTGGCTGTTTAAAATCCGTATATCCTTTGCTATTCATCTCCGAGCAACTTGCGCAGGATTTGCACCCAAAAATATTCTAATCATTGAAGGAATGAAAGAGTTTAAATCCTCTTTTGTGGCATAATATCTTAGTCTTTGAGTATATAGTGTCCATGGCTGGGGATGAATACTTGCGTTACTGCCTGGTGGCTCGGTAAATATCCACCACTGGCCACCTCGGCTAATAGTTGTCAAATGTAAGGTGTTACGGGTAAGCATCAAGCACCTCTCATTAAAATCAGAACCATTGTCAGGATTTCTTTTCAAAAAAAATTTTTTTTCTTAATTCATACACTACATTTTGATCAAATTTAATTATGGAGAAGTCGAGTGAAGTTTGAACACTTATGAACTGAAGAAATCAAAAAATAATGTAAATGTTTGGACTGCAATACAATGTTTGTTTTGATTTGTCTCATATTGACATATGCAAAATTGTTTTGACATGGTTCATCTTATTGAGGATATAAACATATAGAGAATGATCCTGATGGGATCAGTATCAGTAGTTAGGCAACTGCCCACCTACCCCTCCCCTAACCTAACATTAACCCTGACTTGTCATCAATTGACTGTTGTTGGGTTAGGGGAGGGGTAGGTGGGCAGTTATGTACATAAAAAAAATTACGCACTCCTTATTGGCTGAGAAGGACTGCATTCTCATGTAACAAGAGTGCAAATTACAAATAGCGCACACGCTTTCAAAATTTCATCTGTCTTGACTTTCTGCAGTGGTTTTTTCATGTTCATTATTAACATCATTATTAATTATTATTCATTATTAATGACATGGTTTCTCTTGAAATTTGGTATAATAAGCACTTGTAAATTGTTCAAAGACTACATATTGCACTTGCCCCAAGGGCTCTTGCAATTTTGTTGTCTTGAAAAACATTAACTCATGCTTAGTACACCTAATCATTTAAATTACAATTTCCTTGATCGTGCACGTGATTGGTTTAAAATACTACTATTTTCTACAAATTCACTTGCCAAGTTGTTAACAGACAATTTGTTATCAGACAGTTCAGTGAGTCAATCACATTCTCAATTGTGGTTTAAATCAACCAATCACATGCGAAATTGTAGTTTAAATCAACCAATCCCAACCTTGGTTTCAATCACCATAGAAAAAGTAAACAGACTTCTACATTGGGGCTTTCTTCAAAATGGAGAATTTTTCCCATTGAAAAATGATAGTATAATAGAAGACAACATTGATTTTGTTTATCCTATGGCACAAATGACTTTGGAATCTCTCGCATTATTATGAAACGAATTGGACTGAACTACAGTTTAACAGGCTTGGTTTACAAATTTATTTAGGATTTGCATTGGTAGAATTCTTCTTTTCTGAGTTAAATCAGAACAGTCATAGTGGGATTTTCTTATTAAAAATATTCAATTGTGAACTCAAGGAAAATAAAGTTCATTCCTGTTTTCGATGACTGGAAGAAATTTTCGACGGGACTATTTAACCCTCTCATCGTCCTTTTCGATCGTGCCTCAGTTGATTTACGATTAAACCAAACTAAAACGGAAAAATTGATACATGTTGATATATAACTTATGGTGGTGCGTTACAAATAGCGCGGTAACAATTTTTTTCGTGATGTACACCAGCGAAGGTTTACCGTATCTTTTAATTAAACGAACATCTTAAAATCATGACAAATTTGTAAACCGAAACGAAATTAAAATCTGTAATCTGCGAAATGAACTCAAAATCTTTGACTGCGAAATGGAAATCTGAAATTTCGCAACATGAATACGTGCGAATCCCCAACCAAAACTGTCTCATCCCATCATAGGACTTTTTGCTGTTAAAGAAAAATGGCGCGAAATTGTCGTAATGTTCTCCTGCTGAGGGAGAATGCGTCACGCTTCTGTCACTTTTTTCATGTAGCCTGTTCCACGCGTTCAGTTAGTAAAACGAAGAGAAAGAGGAAACAGCGCAATAAGAGCGGTTTGGGTTGGGTCGCGTATATAACGTAACCCGACCCAAGCCTCACTCGTTTTTTTACCGTGTAATGATCACGCTTCGTTTTATTAACTGAACAACTGAAACAGGCTAGGCAATATGGCATTCAAGTTACCATAGTTTAGGTTACTCGGGTGTTCGAAGAGAAGTTTAGCGTCAAATGATTTACCAGATCTCCTTCAGTTTTTGTGGAGTGATCTTACTGACAAGGACTAAAAAGGAGATCGGCAAGGGAAAATTTTGGATATGTTTGTGCACCTTTAGTCACGCGACATTGTCCTGTGGATGTCTTTTCAGAGAAGCGCCATGTCACGCATTCGAACTAATTATCGACTACGTACATTGATGAAGAAATCTAAAATTAAAATTTGCATCTTATGGCTAAATAGCGCAATTCTTCTTTCACACAGGCGATGCATTGATTTCTTCGCGACCGTAGTGGACATTTCATTTCGCAAATTACAGAATTTCATTCCGTTCCGTTCTGTTCCTCCAATAATCATTAAAAAAATACAATTTCCTCGATTGTCATTGGTTTAAAAAACTCCTATTTCCACTAATTCACTTGCCAAGTTGTTATCGGACAGTTGAATGAGCCAATCGCATTTAAAGTTGTAGATTAAATCAGAGAATCACACTGAAAGTTGTAGTTTAAATCAACCAATCACAACCTCGGTTCAATCACCATATAACCAGTGTACAGATTGCTAACTTAGGGCTTTCCTCATAACCTTTAACAATAATAGTCTTCTAATGCAAATTTACCCTTTCTTTCATAACTTGGCTATTCCTCTTTCCTCGGAAATTGTAACTTTTATGACTAATTGGTAATAAGACTTCGTGTCGTCCTATTCGGTCTGTTATCATACCCGTGACAAACAAATCGGACTCCCGTTGGCGCAATCGTCCGATTTTGTTATTAATCGTTTGATTACAGACCAAATTGGACTCACTTAGTCCTTACCATTACTAACAAGTACATGTAAGCCAAATAGAGGATAACTGACCCACATAGTTAAGCCTCTTTGTCAGGATTGCTTGGATAAACTTTTTGTCGCTAAGTGTGTTTTCACTTGTCCAAAGAAATATGAACTATATCGAGAATGTTTCCAAAGTCAGCTAATTATGAGGTAATGAAGGAAACTAAATTATAACCGTAACAAGGTATATATGAATCCATGTTCTAATTCCACCTGTAGGGTTACTCATGTGAGGCAATAGCCATCCAGAACATGTTTCATCATGACAGTGCGATCACACAAAGCTCGTGCAAGGGCATGGTAAGTGGCTTCAGTACCCCTCTTCCGCTTCCATTTCAGCAGTATCTGGTAGGACTGCTCAGATATGTTGTCCCGATGTTCTTCCTCTATCACGTCCAAGTTATCGTCGTCTAACCCGAGGGCTCTCCCAACTCTCTTACGTTTTCGCTGAACTTTAGAAGAAATGTTCTGAAGGTCTTCGTTGCTAACACATCCTTGCTTCAGCTTTTTTGCTTCAAAGATTAAAATAGATAAAACAAACAAGTAGGTACGTACAGGTAAACAAAAATAGTGCGGTAACAAACATTTTTGTGGGCTCTAAGGGTGAGTTTGGGACTTATTTGGTGACATAAGAAAGAAGCCTTTTCCATAGTACTTAGAATTATCTCTCGCAGACCAGTATAGGTTTTCACCCATTGCGGAAGAAGTCTCTTTTATCAGCTATCTCAACTGTCTAAAATCATGGGTGTTTTCTTAGGCAAGGCAGCTACGAAAGAATTAGCTTTTCTTGATTGGGGTCAGGGTTTGGAACCCGCAGCAACAAAATGTGAACCATCAGTTATCCGAGGCAAAAAAACAGAGGTTGGAGTTAATGCCAGAATGATTCAAAAAACAATCTACTAGGAAACTTACGCAGTTCCTCAGGTTTCCCCGCAGGTGGATCATGTTTCCTAAGGCAGTATTTTTCAAATGTCGCTGTATACTCATGCTTCTTTAAGGCTTTTTCAAGATTGACATAAGTACCATCACGTTGCCACCAGGTTTTGAGCATTTTATAACACATTTCGTAGTCCTCATCGTTGTCTTTTTTAATACCATTAATATCTCCATCAGTAAGGCCTAAGCTTCTCCAAAACATCTCCGAGGCTTTGTCTTCTTGCATATCCAATGCAAGGTTGGGGAGATACTTGAGAATGACTATAAGATGAGACAATAAAGCAAAATTACTTTCAAATGGAAATATTGCGGAGAAAGTCTCCGTTATCCTGATTCCTTCAAGGTCGTTTATGACCTTCCTGCGATAAAAGTTATACCCAGTATTTTCCCTCAACTCAAATTACCAATTAAACGCTCAACGCTCATTACCTTCAGTCTCTGCATTTTTTCTGTTAGAAACGAAAACCACAGTACCCTTCGAGTATCCGAAACGTGTTTAATCTTATATAAGAAAGAATTTGAAAGTTGCAATACTCTTTGCTGCAACATGCATGTGTTACATCAGACATGTAAAAAAATAGGCAGATAACTCAGACATCGACATGGATAATTCATGATATCATGCCCAACCTCTTCCAATAATTGCTTACTATCACAGAACCAATTAGCGCGAGAATCATTTCTTAATTTCTTCCCTAATTTTATAAGTGATACATGTTAGATCTTAATAATGCATTTGTCATTGTTAATAGTGATATTTATATTAATTCCTATTTTCACCTAATAGCATAATTTCGAGTGCAATTTCGTGAGTAAATTTTTCAAAGGTAATAATCTTTGTCTTTGTTGTGCAAAGTTGTAACACAAGTCGCACTTGTGTTACAACTTTGCACTCATGTTAATGAAAAATTTACTCGTTTTCAGCCAATCACAAGCAGGTGACATTTTCATGTAAATTATATTACACAGTCATGTAACATAGACGGATATTTGCGAGTTGCGTGTTATTTTACGAGGTGAGTAAAATTACAGTAACGAGCAAATTTCTGCTGGTATTATGTTAAACCATCGAATAAAGGATTTATTATTCCACTGTTATCTCATTTTCAGGTACTTTGGCATCTAGATTACGAAATACATTCTTTGGCTTTTCCAGATAGTATCAGAAAGCGTGCACAAAGGACGAAAACAACAATAATGAAACCATCAAAGTGTTATCTGGGATGGCTTAAAAAGTCAAGCCCGAAATACAGAAAAGAAATCAAAGTTTTGATCATGATCATTCAGTGTGGCCATTTTGTCTCGTTTGTATTTCAGCCCTACAGTGTACTATGGCCCCTTATCGTTGCTAATATGGTAGAATGGAGTAAAATAACCCAAGATGGAGTAACCTTGGATAGATCACATTAAGGACTGTTTCAAGTGAACTGCTGCAAAAATTCAGTCACTTAGAAATTTTAAAATCAATATACTTGTAAATAGATATTGCCACACTAATTAAAACTAGCTGAAACTGTGCGTAAGAAAGTAGATAAACTGAGTTGAACTCTCTACAATCGTGACCTCTGTTTTTGATTTAGCAAAATCCAAAACATCACATGCTTGCACTTAAGGTTAAATCCTACACCATATCGATAAGAACAAATGGTGACCTCTTACTTTTCTCTTCAGACTCAGGGAGAGCAGCAGGGACTGTTTCAGTGCTGGAGGGTGTCTTGTCATGACCTATATAAAATACAAACAAGGAAATATTCCTTAAGAATCTACTTTTCATTTTGACTTACAAATTAGATTAAGAAATAAAAAAATTAAAAATTATGAAGAACAATCTAAAATGGCATTAAAAATGAATATTTACAACAGCGGCCAGAAAACAAACATATAAATTTCGTCCTAGTATACGTACGGATATGTTACCATCCTATTTTGGTCAGAGTCCTATTGCCTCACAGTTTTTAGATAACCGGAGGACCAATAACAAGAAACCATCCAGCTGCTAAACATGAGCAAACAAATACCAATGACAATCAGTTACAAAATAATTACCAGACACAAGTTTTTGTTGCTCATCCCTCAATTCTTGACACTCTTCCTGTATAGTCCCATTAAGAGGTTGATCTGATGGAGGTACTAGAGCTGTTGATAACAAATTCAGGTGAGAGAAGTTCACATCTATTTTGGTATCTTCACTAAGTCCTGCTGAGTATATTGATAAGTAATTTATTATTAAGAAACTAAACTTTCACATTTAAACTGTATGTCTGAGCCTATAATAAATTAAAAATACGGTAAATGATCTTAAGGTGGTACAATCAATAAGGTGGTGATCGCAATTTTGATTTATCAAATTAATTAAGTCTTACTTGTTATAACAATAATAATCAAAAGGTTTACACAAATCTGACTTGATATTGTCTGTTACCTCTTTTTCATTCAAGAAGTGGTTGCAGGCATTGACCATAATGTTTTGAGATACACATTTACACTCAAACCTTAAACCTTAAAATAAGGAGCTGCTAAATGGCTAAACCAGAAATTTTTAATGTTTTTGAATGGTTTTACTTGTTAGATCTTAAATTGTATATGATATTTCTTCTGAGAAGGCTCTAGGAGGGAGCTTATATCTGTGAGGGATTATAATTGCATGTACCTCTTCGTTAATACAAGTAGATGGACCTTATAATAAGCAGGAGGGGGCCTTAAATAAGTGGAGGGGGGGGACTTTAATAAGCAGCAGTTGACAGTAAAAACAACACTAAGAGTACCATTCAAAATTAGCAAGGAAGATTTCAGGGGCTGGGACTTCAATTGATTAATGTATCCCATACATATTGTATGATACATGTGGCTACAGCAACTTGTGCAAAAATCAAAAATAGATTGAGTAATGTTAATGTACAATTAATTTACACACATTGAAATTACATACCGGGGGTATCTGGGATATCTGAATCATTAACAGTTGCAACCTCACTAGGTTCTGTTTCTTGATTTCCTGTTAATCCGCAAATAGCATTTATGAAAAAAGAAGAATCATAATTGATTACTGGTATACACTGAAAAATTGTGTTTTATTATACAAATACACTTATTGGATTTATGGTGCATTTGACTTGTTTCATCAATTTGGGAAAAAGTGCAGAAGAATTTAAAAGCTCTTTCTCTGTTTTGTCTGTAATTGCCAAATATCATCCATATACTGTCAATGTTGTACTGTTAGCATATTATGTGACAGATAGATTTGGTATTAACATTGTTGTAATTCTTCCATACATTTCAATTTTTTTCAAGAGCAAAAACAAGCATAATACTCTCTCTAATCTGAGAGTCTCCAGCCCTCTTTCTTTCTTGGTCTGGAGTTTCCTGCTTTTTTGGTTGCAAGCCTTGATCAAATAGCCACAGAGAAGGTGGTTAGTGTCTGCTTTTTTAACTACTTCAAAAAAAATCTTGACATCTAAAACTGTTCAACTAAAAGTACACGCACAGTAACCATTTGACAACCTCAAATCTCGAAATGCTAACCACTTAGTTCAAAGGCTAGAAAAATAAACTAGCTCGATTCAGGTGGTATCTCAAGTTATAACACTGCAATAACAAAGGGGGAAGACATCTGAAATGTTCTACACACAAATGAAGAAGCACTCCTTAAAAATCAAAATCATATACACGATATGATATGAACACTTCAGCTCAAAAATGTTAGTTTCGAAACGCGTAACTTGTGTACTTTTCTGTTAGGTTTGTTCCGGTTTATTATTTCTTCGTTGGTTAATGATTATTACTTAATAAGTTCCTATTTCAATCAGTTTCATTTAAGCACATGTACCAGATATTGTATTTCATATTTCATCGCTATAAGTTGCTGTCGACGCCACCAATTTTCTCTGCTATTCATGTACGATCCGCTATCGGCGATTCATCTACAATCTTTAGGAGCTAGACCAAATTCGAATCACACAAATTCAGCTACAACGTGACGATCAATCGTAACTTCGCCATCTTCAACTTTACTTCGCCCTCTTGACATCTGTGATTTCACACCGATCTCCTTATTTCCGTTTGTAATTTTTTTTACGTACTTCATTTGATTAAAACGTGATTTATATTGTGCGTTCGGATTGTCTTCTCCGCTACACTAGTAACCTTTGAAGGTTACAAAAAATTCGGCAACTATAAATGTTGCAACTTTAGCCTCCATATTTTATCTCCTCTTGCCACATGGCGACCTTGCTGATCTCACCTTGGAGCGCATTCATGGAAGAAAGTCTTTATTTAACCAATCAAGAGTTTCTCAGATTTTTCAATTGCATATGAGAGATGAGGGCCACAACCGACACAACAGAACTAACTTTTTGAGACTTCTGTTTCAGCCATCTTTACTTACCAACATCTGTGTCTGTTAAGAAGTAGGGAAAAAGTCGTCCATCAAGATCCTCTCCCACGACACCAATGACTTGGTACTTGTCTGTAATGATTGGGGATCCAAGGATAGAAGATTTTTCGCATATACAATCCTCCTTGTCAGAAGAATTAAGTTCGTGCTTTCCCCTGTCGTAGTCGTACTTGAAAGTAAATTTTACGGTATCTTTGCATCCGATGAATGAGTGTGCAAAGACATCCTTACTCTTTTCATCACTTCCTGGAACTTTCAACTTAAGAATTCCAAAATCTTTCTTTGGCGTCGGTGCGTCGCCTCGTAGTAATGAAATGAACGAGCAACTTTCAATTTGCTCGACCTGTGACATTTCGAACCAACAGTTTTTCTGGGCAGTAAAAATATTTTTCAAATACCGATGCAATCTTATTGGCTTAGCTTGATCGTGTTCGTTGATTACACCCTGCCAAGTTAGCAAACGTTGCTTCCCTCCAACTTCAACGGCACAAGCCATTCCTCTTGTTTTGCAGATTATAGGGATGTCTCTAGATATGTGATCAACTTCCCTTACTGCAAAGATGGCCTCCTCGAGGTTTGGGTCTTTCCCATAAGCCATCCCTTGTTCGACGAGTCCTGACTTTTTCTTCGGTTGACGAACGGCCATGTGGAACTTATTACAAATTTCCAGAGGTTTGGTGAGACCAAGGTTTGGTGAGACCAAGGTTTGGCTGAATCTCAGTGTGTGTACGATGCAATTGCTACCAGGTAAAGCTTCCAACCACTTTCCGATGGTCTTACACGGCCGCTAGCGTGCGCATAGCGGAAGTTAGCCGAAGTAGCAGTACTAGTAAAGACTTCCGCTTGAAAATTTGCCAACACGTCAATTTTGCCCGTTCAGCATCGTTCTGTGTTTTCAGCGGGTATATACGCCATGGCTGAATGCCGTATAGACGACAAAATGGCTGACAATATTCGTGTTATAGGTTTCATGTAAGACTTCCAATATGTCCTAGTTATCCTTATTCTACCACATTAACCCCTTTTACCTTAAGTTAACCTTGTTGTACCAATTCAACACACACTTACCGCAAGTTAGCCATGCCCTACCGCGATAACCCACATCTACCCTGAGTTAAACACGTTCTACCCCGTTAACCCCCATCTACCCTAAGTTAACCATGTTCTACCACTTTAAACTCCATCTACTCTAAGTTAGCCATGTTCTACCACGTTAACCAACATCCACCCTAAGTTAACCATGTTGTACACCGTTAACCCACATCTATCTATCCCCCCATTGTACTCTTAGTTAACCATGTTGACACCACGTTAATTCACATCTATCCTAAGTTAACCGTGTTCTACCACGTTAACCCACATCTACCCTAAGTTAGCCATGTTCTACCACGTTAACCCACATCTACCCTAAGTTAACCATGTTCTACCACGCTAACCCACATCTACCCTAATTTAACCATGTTCTACCACGTTAACCCATATCTACCCTAAGTTAACCATGTTCTACCACGTTAAACTCCATCTACTCTAAGCTCGCCATGTTCTACCACGTTAAACCTCATCTACCCTAAGTTAGCCATGTTGTACCACGTTAACTCACATCTACCCTAAGTTAGCCATGTTCTACCACGTTAACCCACATCAACCCTTAGTTAACCATGTTCTACCACGTTAACCCACATCTACCCTTAGTTAACCATGTCCTACCTCGCTAACCCATTTCTACCCTTAGTTAACATGTTCTACCACGTTAACCCACATCAACCCTTAGTTAACCATGTTCTACCGTACCACGTTAACCCACATCAACCCTTAGTTAACCATGTCCTACCTCGCTAACCCATATCTACCCTTAGTTCACATGTTCTACCACGTTAACCCACATCTACTCTAAGTTAGCCATGTTCTACCACGTTAACCCATGTCTACTCTTAGTTAACCATGTTCTACTACGTTAACCCACATCTACCCTAAGTTAGCCATGTTGTACCACGTTAACCAACATCTACTCTAAGTTAGCCATGTTCTACCACGTTAACCCACGTCTACCCTAAGTTAACCATGTTCTACCAAGTTAACCCACATCTACCCTAAGTTAGCCATGTTCTACCACATTAACCCACATCTACCCTAAGTTAACCATGTCCTACCTCGCTAACCCATATCTACCCTTAGTTCACATGTTCTACCACGTTAACCCACATCTACTCTAAGTTAGCCATGTTCTACCACGTTAACCCATGTCTACCCTTAGTTACCCATGTTCTACTACGTTAACTCACATCTACCCTAAGTTAGCCATGTTGTACCACGTTAACCAACATCTACTCTAAGTTAGCCATGTTCTACCACGTTAACCCACGTCTACCCTTAGTTAACCATGTTCTACCAAGTTAACCCACATCTACCCTAAGTTAGCCATGTTCTTCCACGTTAACCCACATCTACCCTTAGTTAACCATGTCCTACCTCGCTAACCCATATCTACCCTTAGTTCACATGTTCTACCACGTTAACCCACATCTACTCTAAGTTAGCCATGTTCTACCACGTTAACCCATGTCTACCCTTAGTTAACCATGTTCTACTACGTTAACCCACATCTACCCTAAGTTAGCCATGTTGTACCACGTTAACCACCATTTACACTAAGTTAACCATGTTCTACCAAGTTAATTCACATCTACCCTAAGTTAGCCATGTTCTACGACGTTAACCCACGTCTACCCGTTAAGTTAACCATGTCCTACCTCGCTAACCCATATCTACCCTTAGTTAGCCATGTTGTACCACGTTAACCAACATCTACTCTAAGTTAGCCATGTTCTACCACGTTAACCCACGTCTACCCTTAGTTAACCATGTTCTACCAAGTTAACCCACATCTACCCTTAGTTAACATGTTCTACCACGTTAACCCACATCAACCCTTAGTTAACCATGTTCTACCACGTTAACCTACATCTACCCTTAGTTAACCATGTTCTACCACGTTAGCCCACATCTACCCTAATTTTGCCATGTTCTTACCACATTTTGACGTCATCTGTGATCTATTACTGAACAGACGCACGGCAACGGAATCTATTTGTTAAGTAGATGTGGGTTAACGTGGTGGGTTTTTATGGTCAACAAT